CTTTATATTGTGGTGGTTGGCACATCTGAAATAATTCACTTTAGAGGTAGATCACTTACAGTTATTTTCATACCTGTTTATTTTTCCCACTATCAAATTATTATAAACTTCAACTTTAGATGCTTGATTTCAGAATTTTAATTTGCATCATAAAAATGGTAACTGCAAAAATCGCAGTACCCGCATACATTGTTCAACATACAGGTGGTTGCGTTCCATTTTCCATTCCAAATTCATCCTTTACCTTAAATGCTCTTACAGCCTTCTTAAATTCTTCATGCTTTGGCCTACGACAAAATGGTATGATTTGTATTTTTTTTAAATACAACAAAATGACTCAACTTATTTGAGTTTTCTCCAGACATTCACTGTGGTAAACCTAAAATCAAACAAAGCTTGAAAACAAAATTGAGTCCTCAGTTATGTGTATTTTTAACAGCTAAAACGTTGGCACAGGATCTTTAGAGTACTTTTGCCATAGTGATGCATAATTCACTTCATAATGATTTCAATATAAACCATTTCACATGTTTAAATTGTCATAAGAAGTCCACGTTACTCCATCAAACAAGAGGTTGTAACCAGTTTGTTCAGCTTTCACATTTTAGTGAAAGACGTGTGTGTCAGTGTCTGCAAACTCTAAGAAACAGGTACAGTTTTTAAATTCTGCTGAGATATATAGTTCACTTTGAAGGGTTTTAAATACAATTGTAAGACCCCCAGTGTAATCTCTATTGCACCAGAATTTTTTTGTTTGTTTGCCGAAGTCCAATATATTTTCCCTTTATTTTAGGGCTGTGAAATCCAAAGACTGTCATATTGCAATACAGAAAGTACTTTCTGGTTTGTTTTTACCTAGGCCTTATAATTGTGCCTGCTACTTGTGCATCCACAAAGTGGATTTTGTTTCAGTTCAGCCGAATACAGAAGACCTTATTTCCAATCCCGAGCATAAAAATTTCTTCCCACTACTGGGAAGGTAATTTTTAAACCTCAGACTTGAATACAAATCTAGACAGATAGCAGAGGAGGGGTGTTTTTTTGGTTTTGTTTTGTTTGGGTTGTTTGGGTTTTTTACGATTTTCAAAGTAGTTTGCTCCAAAAGGGAAGTTAATTAAAGTAGCTCGTCCTGATGGGCTTTATGTTAAGTAGGATTTTTATTGTTTTGTTTCTAACACAGCTTTTCAGTGTTTAAGATGTCTGTTAAAATATTCTCCCTGGTCTTTATTAGATCCTGAAAGAATCCGAATTTACTTTTTATTTCTAATGTAAATTTTGAGGCACTTCTTTTAAAGATACCCATATGGATTTTTTCACTTTATGGTGTGAAATTACTTACCTTGGCTTGATTATCAACATGAAAAGAGATCTAATTTCCTCAGCGATGAAGGCATGCAGCAGCATGCACCAAACTCCTCCATACTCCATCAGTGCTGTGGAAGAAAGCCCGCTTCTGTGGACTGGTTTCTGCAGCCATGTTGAGGTATCATCACAGTTTGGGATCATCTGTTCTCACACACAGCAGCAGAATTTGGCCTTACGACGAGCCAAGTCAGCCACAGGAGGATATGGGGTTCCAGCCCTTCCTCTGCAGCAGCTATTTCCAACCTTGTACCCATGTCATAAACACTCAGGAAGCAGTCTCTCTCCAACCCTCATTGCATCATAGCAATACTTCTGCTTCCGTACCCAGCTGTGTGCTGGAGCTGGAGTGTGTATCAGTTGTGAAGGTAGCATTTTCAGCCCAAACACCCATTTTTCTTATCAGAGAAATGGGAAACCCATGGGCCATGCTGGTATAGAGCATATACATCCTGATTTCACTGTAAGTCTTCAAAAAACATAAAATTAGTGAGATACTAAAAAAGCTGTTGGAACAAACTTACCTATTTGTCACGCCCTGCTTTACCCCTTCCCTCCAGAAAGCCCTTCTTTGAGTGCTGAGGTTACTATAAATACAATAATATACGTAATTTTTTTTACTGAATGCAGTCTTTTCAACATTATTTGTATTTATTGTATTCAACGTTATTTGTTGAGAAGAACGCAATGGAGAATATCTTTTCAAAAAAGACAAAAGTACTTCTGTGTTTTAAACACCTGCCAATCTGAAATGTATCGTGGCTTTTTTCCCTGCTCTGGTGAATAATTTTGTGTTTGGATACCTGCAATAGCAGGAGACTCTTGTTCTGTTTCACAAATAAGTCCGTAAAGGAATTGGCCAGTTTTCATGATTTTGAAGTATTTAGTAATGCACATAGTTCCAATGAATATTTTGCTAAAGAACTGTAGCAGCTTTTTTGGTTTTAGAGAGAAAGTGTTACCGTAGTCTTTGAGGAATACGTCAAATCAACTTAATGCTAAAGCTTGAAAGGATTAAAAAAAATTAAGTTTTACTGAAAAAATTGAGGTTGCGCCAGCCATCACAGTAAGCATTTCTTTTCTTGACGAAACTGCATGGAATACCTAATTGTCAAACTTCTACAGAAGTCAGCTAATATTTCCAATGTACTCTTGTATCAAAATCCAATGAAAAAACAAGACAGATTTCTTTTTTTTTTCCCTTTTATTTTTTTTTCCTGCTTGGCTGCTAAACACTGCCTTTCTCTGCCTCTGATTCCCTTACTGCTTTCTTCTTTGTTTGTAAGTTCAGCATACGTCGGTGTCATTTCCTCTTTTGCCCCATCCTACCCTCTTTCCATCTTCTTCTGCCTTTTAGGTGTTCAGTATGTTTTTGGAGACACTGGTGGACTTCATCCAGGTCCATAAAGAAGATCTGCAGGACTGGCTGTTTGTACTGCTGACACAACTGTTGAAAAAAATGGGTGCTGATTTGCTTGGGTCTGTACAAGCGAAAGTTCAGAAGGCACTTGATGTCACAAGGTAATGAGTTCGGGGGCGGGGGGAGAGAAAAAAATTCCAAACCCTCATGCTACTTCCAAGTTTGGGGATTTTTTTTTTTTTTTAGTGTGCTCTGAGATTCTTGCAAAAATGCAGGGCTAACTACAGATTGTGAAACTTCAGTAAGCCTTGCTGCTTAAGCATTCTGTTTTCCTAAGTGACTCTTAGTTGAAAGGGTTTGAGTCCTTAATGCTGAGCAATTAATATGATACTACTTATCTGATTCCAAAACGTGCATCTGAGCCATGTATGTTTGTTGCCTTGCATTCAGTGATACACTCTTGTGCTTGAACTTCTTTATTTTGATATAAAGATACTGTTGCAATATTGATGTCTCAGTGTCAGCAGGCTTTTAAGGAGTTACGGCAATAATGGATTTGCTTTCCGTCTTCCCTCCACTCTCCCCAGACTTCACTAACATCCTGGTTCCAAAATGGTGTTACATGATTTTGGGGCCATCAGAGCTGCCCATCCCTGGCCAATTTTATTTCCAAATGAAAGCTAGATTTTTAAGTAGAGTTGGAGGGACTCTGGGACCTATTTCTTATACTCTATTCTCTGAAGTATGGGATAGTCTAAGCGGTCTAGGCCTCTTCTGGACGGACCTATTCATGTGGCAGATCTGCTGTAAAATCTGGGGAAGGGTATGGTGTGTGTTGCGGGGAGAGAAGGAATATGATTTGCTGCACCTCTTTTTCTCTTGCTGCAGCAGGGCTGTTGAGGGTCATACCCGGAGTGTGGCATGTGGGAGAGTGGAGGTAGCCAGAGTGGAACAGCAGGATGATTCAGAGAAGCATGCAGGAGGGTTGTAGTGTATACCTTTAGCAGTACTACTGCATCATAATTTAGGGATTGCATAGATTTAGAATCAGAATACTGCCATATCATTATTTATATCATTCCTTATTACTTGCATTATCTATTCTAGCTATAATTGCTTCAAAGCAGGAATTTCTTAAATTTTGCCGTTTACATGCTAGGTGAATGTTTCTGAAAGTCAGATACAATATCAACAAAACTGGTAGAATTCTTTTTCTTTTAGAAGTACTAAAGCTTTTCTTTACTGAAAAGAGTGAGGGCTTATTTAGTGCCTCTCAACAGGTATTAAAAGAAAATGTCTCGTAACTTAACATTATTTGATTTGTTTGTTTTACAGGGAATCTTTTCCAAATGACCTCCAGTTTAGTATTTTAATGAGATTTACTGTTGACCAGACCCAAACACCTAGCCTGAAGGTAAGAATTTTCAGGCTTGCATTGCAAACAAAAATCTTCCTTGATAGACATTTGCTTGTCTTAAATATTTGATTTTGGATTGTTATTTTTGTTTTGTTTTGTTTTTTTTAAAAAAAAGGTTTTCAATTAGTGGATTTTGTTTTTGTAAACTTTCAGACAGTCAAGCCAGCACTACAGGACCAGCTTCGCTCTTTTTGGAGCTCAAAGGTTTTTGTCTGAATTATTGTCTTTATTCTTAACCCTATGTCAAACTCTTACAGTGTTTCCAATAATTTTTATTTGAATGCATTCGTATGCTACTACTAACCTTTGCGAGAAACCTTAAGCATGCAGATGTTCAATTTTAAACATTACACTAGTATGAAAATGTTTGCTGCAAGAGAGATCTAATAAAACCACAGTACAGTAAAAATGAGCAACAAAAATGTGGCCGCCTAACATCAAGCTGGTTATGCAAACTCACTCTATCAAGTCTCTTCTAATTTTATGTTTGTGATTTCCCAATCGTGTTTTCCTAGTTCATATATATTTTTTCCTGTGTTCAGCCTGATAGGTCTTGAATTCATTTAGATTATTTTAATATTAATATGAACTTGAGTTACTATATTAAAAATCAGCTTCCCTTGTGGTACACTTACTTTTCTGAAAGCAGTGTGTAGCTTTATAATTACACACATTTTTACATAAGAATCTGTAGTCCATAGACCTGCCAGTATAACTGAAAAGTAAAAATGTATTCTGTAGTACATTTACAGTTCCAAAGAGAGTTGATTTGAGGATAAATGCATCAAATCCTAAGATTTACAAGTGATGTAAATGGGGAAATAACAAGCATATGATAACTGGCATTTTCTGCTCTATTCTGCACGAAATATTTTTACATATTGCACAAGAATATGACTTTTCCCAAGTTATGTTGAACATAAAGTCACATGAATATGCCTTTTTTGTCTACAATACAGTAAAGCTTACATTTTTAAGCTTTTGAGGACAGTTGATACGTTGACCACTGTTGCTTCGTAGAGCTGTGTTAAAAAGGGACTGCTGTCATTTATTGAAGACAGCAAATGAGGTAGTAAAAATCAGTTTGTTGTTTAAATAAATCCTGGGAACAAATGGGGCTTGGTTTTGTTTTACTTGGTTTTCCTCCCCAGGAAGGTGAATTTGATGGTTGAGATGTTCTTTTTTTCCATACAGTAGTATAGCTGGTAAACACATGTTGATCATGTTTCAAAGTTGAGAGTGTAGATTTGGAATGAGACATGGACTCCTACTAGGCTGAGTTGGGGCTTAGTTCAAGAATATTCACTATGCAACCTAGAAGGAATCAAAAAATTTGAAGTACTGAATAGGAAGACATTCTGAAAATAATTTCCAGCCGAAATCAAGGTATCAGTAAAAACTACCTCCATAGAAGAAACACCTGTTAGTTTGAAATAAAATCAAGAGTACTTAAAATGAATTTTTGGGACAGTAAAGTATGTAACTGTTTAAGAGAAGGTAAGCTTTTTGCAGAAAAAAGTGGTATCTACCCCCTACTTCCATCTTTATGAGGTAACTACAACTTCAGGGTCCAGACAGTAAAATTATTGAACATAAATTGCAGAAATGTCTATTTAATATCCACGTTCTTGAATATTTTGTCTGAATCCTATCCTCAGTGCACCCAGATGTCTAACAGATCAATTGATAATCTTAGAACACTACTCCATTTCTTGAAGTCTTCAGCTTTTGTTCTTGCTGTGAGAAGTTATTATTTTGTTGCAGAGTGTGCCTTTGGGCCAGATATACTGAGAAACAGCATTCACTGTGACAGGAAAAATCAGAGAAAGGATTTTCAGCATCCTTAAAGATGGTCAGATGTAAGAAGGGATGATAGATCAGAAATTTTCTCCGTGGAAGGATTCCCTTCTACAAATGACTTTTCCCTCTTTGTTTTCATGTGGTAGTAGTAAATAATCATGATCCTCTGGAGTAAACTGTCGTTGTCGTTCTTACACTTAGAAACACAGCTAAACCTTGGGCAATAAAAGTCAAGCTTTTAGGGTGGCCACAGAGGTGGATTTGGATAGCTAGGCAGTAAGAGGACCAAACGTAGAGAAGGTATAATTCTACTGACCTGATCCGTGGAGGATGCAGCACAGTGTATTGTGCTGTATCTGTCTGTCTTTTGCTATTATTTTACATGTAGGTGTGGTAAATGCTGAAACACAGGTTAGAGGTGCCAGATGCATGTATCTTGGTCAAATGTGTGGATGGGCATAGGAGTCAAATTTTTTAGATGGGATGTAATCTATTAAGCTTATTTTCACAGGTGCAGAACATAAGCTCTCCAAAGGATGAGTGTTCTCCTGAAACACACTTCAAATCACCACTTTCATTTTTCTCGGGTTGAATATCAAATGGCTCACACTCAGTGAGGACTTGTTTTAACATTGTCACCAAAGTTCATTACAAATTTCTGAACCCTTCCTTCCTTTGAAAATACTGATTTGTTGACAAAGGTTTTTGCCACAGATGATCAGGGTTTTTTTTTTTTCTAAATCCATATTAAAATTTCTGGATTAAAAAAATGAACCAACCGATGACATAGATTCGCAGAGATGAGAGCGCCCTTAAAAATTCATCTTTAGTGTATATTTTAGTCAGTTGGTTAAACAATGGCAGAGACAGTCACTCCTAAGTATCCAGTAACTTAGGGGCAGACAACTGGGATGTGGCAATGTGGAAGTCCCTTTGCGTGATTGCTTGTATTCAGCCTGCGTAAGGCAGAGTAGAGTCTCTTGCATCCCAGGAAAGCACTGCAAGAGACTTTTTTCTGGTTTAAGTAAAGCAGCTTCTCTACGTTGCTCTCTGCTTTTTTCTTTTTTCCTGCTACGTGAAATGTTTCTTTTGTCTTACCCTGATGCAGCAAATGAAACTCTGTAAATCTCACATTTTTAACAGACAGGAAAACAATTTGCCTTCTAGCACTGTCTGTTTAGCATCCTTACGGTATTTCCTGAATCTCTGGAGGTAGTTGCACATATTTTTGTGCCGGAATTTGTCGTTTCTTTATTTGTGAAAGATGTTTATGAAGCACTTCAGTTCCCTTTATGTCTAATGGGGTTTTTTTGTGAGTAATAGTGCTAATTGTGGCTTGATCTATATATTTCAGCTCACTACAGCAGTTTTATTCTTAAACAAAATGTCTGTGTTATATGCTATATAGGAAAAATGTCTCAGTGTTTATAGACCAGTAAAAGTGCAATAAATTCAACCTAGAAGGGCACAAAGAAAGTAAAGACAGTATTAAACAACTTCATAGACAGTGGTTTCAGATTAACGGCAAATACTCATTGTAAGAATTCCTGGAGCTGCTTTCATTGCAGCCCAAAATTATCTCCTCTCTCAGAGAGATTAAATGGGTTGCTGAGGAGGACTATGTTAGATCTTTTATTTTTAAATCTCAACTCTGTGCATACTTACTGGAAATACTGAGGAAAACACATCATAAGTAGATTTCCTGCTATTATGGAGTTTACTTCAGGGTGGGATTTTTAATCCGTAATAATACTGTTTCATTATATTTGAGCATAGAAAGATACCCCTTCCAGAATTTCTTCTCTTATAAGCAATTAGTGAAAAGCACTCTATTTCAAAATAGTCAAACTTAGCTTTGGGTGTCTGTCTCACTGAGAAAAGCTTTATTACTGTGAACTCTCTCAATTAATCTTCTGTTCAGTGCTATTCTGTCTCCTGAGAGCCTCCATCTTTCCAGAAGTCTGTGCAGTTTACTCTGTGGGAGTAGTTCAAACACTAAATACTACTGCTGTCTCAGATAACAGTGCTCCAGAATTTTTTCACTGGAAGAAATGCCTCTGGATGTTCTAAGTTTTACAGTTCTTAACAGTAATTTTTTTAAGGTGTGGTATTATGTATATTTAAATCACAAACAGTGAAACATAGTGCTGTCATAATGGTTTCACTTGATAATTAGAAATTTTAACTATTGCTTTGTATTTGGAAAACCATGTAGCCTAGGTTTTTTTGCTGTGGAGGTGTTTGTGGTTTTCTTTTTTTTTTCCTTGGAAAGAATCTAGCAAATAGTGTGGTCTCAACTGCATTTGTTGATTGTGATCTGCATAAGATGAAAGCCTCCAGCTGTTGCTTGTTGTATAACTTTGGAGAAGTCAAGCTTTAACGGCTGCTGTGAAAATGAAGTATTCTTTATTAATCTACATGTATCAGCTATCACTAATGTGTGTATCACTTAGTCTATGTTGAGTTTTTAATAGCTTGCAAGTTTTCATGACCAAGGGAAATTTCTAAATAGCTTTGCTCAATTGTACTATAAGTCATGAACAATTAAAAATACACACAGAACTCTTTATTTCTCATTATGATGGACAAAGGTGTTTCCCTCCTGGTAGGTATTTCTGGTTCGCTATAATTACTAGTGGAAATAAAAGCAGCTAAGTCAAATAGGTGGACTAAATAAATATTCACCACTTCTGTTGGCGGGTTGCGTGACAAATCTCTGGGGCAGCCGGAGTTGAGGAGATAAATATTTAAGGGAGATACAGGCATAGTAGCCCTTTGCCCAAAGCTGTGCAGTCATGCAGTTTTGGAGGAACAAGGGAGAGACTGCAGTCCGGGATGTATAAAACAGAGATTCTGCATAAGGAGTAGAGGGAGTTAGTGGAGTACGAGAATGATGCTCAGATAAATGAGGGAGTAGAGCAACTTTTCTATCCTCGTGGTAAATCCATGTCTCTGTTTTCTAAATATCTTCAAAGGAAAAGTGTGCATGTGACCCTTTCGAAGTCTTTTGTAGAAATTCTATTCCATACCTTTTTAGTATTTCATGGGAAGATTCATGTGGCTTATCCCCAAAGATAGTGACTGCTCAACTCTGGTGTTTTATAAAAGAATGCTAAGTGTTAACTACATAGTAGGAACTAACAGGAACTGATTATTGGTTCATCAGATAATGTTCATTTTTCATTTTAGTTGTTGAAAAAAGTTCTTAATAATTCTGAATATGTCTTTAAAATCCTGATTATTCTTAAATATTCTGAGTACCTTGGTTTTCTTTTTGTTAAATATAAGCTTCTGCATATGCAATGATTTGTGTATCTTTTAGTTGCTACCAGTAAAATCTAAGATTTCTATTAATATTTGAATTTCTGTGGAATAACTCCCTTCTTGAAATGTTATATCCATTTGTAAATTGATTTATTGCATAGAGTTTTATAATGCTGAAAAGGTGTTTAGTGTAACTGGGGGGGGGGGAAGATACTTATGTTAGGGAATGAACACTGCTCTATGAGCACACTTGTTCTTGCAGCACACCATTTTTATTGTCCACCTGACTCTGTTTCTCTTTGCAGGTCAAAGTTGCAATCCTTAAATACATAGAGACTCTTGCGCAACAGATGGATCCAGGAGATTTTGTAAATTCAAGTGAAACTAGGTTAGCAGTGTCTCGAATCATCACCTGGACCACAGAACCTAAAAGCTCAGATGTTAGGAAGGTATGTTTCTTAAGGGGTGCTTAGAATTGCAGTACATTCCAAATCTCTTGACAAATTAGAGAAGCTAATATTTCTTGCCTAAACAAACAAACAAAAAATTTCTTTAAAAACAAACTTACTCTTTCATAGAGAATAGATACTTCTATATCCTTCTCAGCAAACACACCTAATTTTTCTGTATAAAGTATCAGAATTGACAAAGTAAAACTTTGCCAAAAATTATATGTTTAAGAATATTCAAGTAAAAATTTAAAATCACATCTTGAAACTCTCCGTTAGGGTTGTGTTTTTATGTATGTTAATATATTGAGATTATCTTTCATAATACAAGGAATAGCTTTGTTTCAAGCACTATCTGGCATTAAAATCTCTTCAGTGGGCATTTTCTATACAGTTTAAATATTCCTTCAGAGACCACCCTACGTGATACTAATAGCACATTCGTAGCAGGAATGGTAAGTTTGGTAGCAAACTTGGTTCAGTCTCTGCTGGATTTTCTCAAATCCTTTCTGTTTGACAAAACATAGGTAAATAACTGTTGACCCTTTGACAAAAGTAAGTTTGTGCCTTAATAAGGTAGCATCAAAGGTTTGTTCTCGTAATGCTGCAGTTCCAGTGCAAAACTCTCTTCTCTCAATAAGTGTTGTGAAGTGAAAATTAGTATTTGTGAGCTACATAGATATACCAGGGATACAGAATAACCTTTAGAAGTATACTAATGCAGTCTTTGGAAAAGGTTTCTAAATAGTCTTTCCAATTACAGAAAGCAAAAATCTTTTAATTTTGTTTGCAGTTTGATGGAATAGAGTTTTGTTGTTGTTGTTCTGATTATCACCAGCCATTCTATCTTAGCTGCCATTATCAGCATGAACACTTTTTGAATGCTAAATAAACATATTTACTTTATGGTTCATAAGTGCAAGCATCTTTGACACAGAGAACTAACTCTTCTGTTCCTTTTTCTCTGTTTATTTCTGCAGTTTGAAGAGTTGGAACAATTTATTTGTTTAGATTTCCATTGCTATTTTCAATTAAGTTTGAGTTTTGGCAACTTCATCATTTCCGGAAACAGTACCAAAACTTCCTTTCTTTAGGAGGGATGTTTTGTGGGAGAGAATTGAGAGAAAAAAGTGGGAGCTGTCTCACAAAGTGTGTAATGTGAAGAGAACAAAAATAACAAGAAGTTGTGGATGTTCTTTTTATCTGGAATGTTTGTAATACTTAATAAAAAAACATAGGAGAGTTTATACTGGAGACAATGTCTCTGTCTTTCACTTCTTATGTAACTTCATGAGTGTGAGAAAGCAATAATAGATTATATCCTATGGACTTGTCTTGCCTGATACCATGTTCTAGTGACAAATATAAGACCATGAGACAGGAGGAGAAATGAAGCAGCACTATCTTCTAAATCAGTAAAGTTTTAGTACTAAGACACGTGGCAAGCTGTCTTATCTGATGGTTCATATCTCTAATAAGCATTTTTATGTCAATAAGTAACTGAATCATGGAAAGAATTGCCAGTGAGTTTAATCATCTGGAACACCTTAATTATATGAAGTTTTCTCATTTTATTTTTTCTTTCCATAACACAGCTGTTAGAGGCAGCTAACTGCCAAAAGTCTTTAATAACTCTTGAAAACAAAATTTCATTATGATGGTATAAAATGTTTCATTCTTTTAAGAGGCCTCACAGCCAGCTATCACAGGCTTTTTCATTTTGTTTATTTTAATAAGCTTATAGCATTTAGTATGATTTCTTTAAATTGAAAGTTTTTTCCCAAGTGTATTTCTGTGTAATTGATGGGTTCAGATTTTTTTTTTTCTTTGTAAAAACATTTCCAGTACTACGTATTATGAAAAATCCTTTTTTATATTAGTCTGAAGTTGGGTACTCCTAGTGCAGTTCAGTGACATGGGACTTCTTTCTGGAAGGTAAAATTCTATGTTTCAGAACTTAGATTTCTTCTGAGATTGGAATTCTTCTGAAAATAATTAGAACCTTCTTAGGGTTCTTCTAAGAACAAAACAAAACCAAAAAATATTTCTCAGCCTTATTGCAGACTTTTTAAAGATGTTATCTGTATGACTGGGCTTAAATCTTGAGAGAGCGAGCTTATGCCGAGGAGAAGAAAAACCTGCAAATACTCTAAAATGCCTTTTTTTTTTTTTGTCTTTTTTTGTCAAGAGAGAGAAAAAATAGACAATTGCATAGCTGAAAACCTTCTGTGAGTCAGTATCAATTTTGATACTTTACGTTGAGCTTCGTTTTGGGCAGACTTGATAGTATCAGTTCCTTTCCTGATATGACTCTGGACTGTCTATTGCGTTGTTATTATTATTGGCAGCTTAGATAGACACAGTGTTGCAGAATGGAGACATGGATAACAGGACAGAAAAAGGAAATAGGTAATTCCCAAGCCTTTGCTCAGATGCAGGATTTGTTTTGGGTTCTCAGATGCAGGATTTGTTTTGGGTTTGGTTTGTATCGATTTCTGTTAAAAGGCTGACCATAGGAAATAACAAGGGAAACAGAAACATAAAGATGGATTATAGAGGGCATTCAGGGTGTTCACTTGAAGGGAAGGGTGTCAGAGGGAGAAGGGAATAAAAGTTAAAGAAAACAGCCAGTCACGAGTGTGCAAAGATAATTTGTGGCAATCTAACATGTTAGTATTTTTGTCCTTAAACTTAATACTAAGATGTGTGCTGGTATGTGTACTCATACCTTGGCTTTCCACTTTTAATTAAAAAATGCTACAGTTCATTGCTCTGGAAGCAAAAGGAGGGAAATAAATGTCTAAAAGAATTTTCTAAACTACTTGCTTTGAAGTATATTGCTGCTTAAGCAAGCTGCCTATCATTTGGTCTAGCATGAGGCACTGGTTCTCTCCAGTGCATGGCAGACCTTGATGGTGAGCTGCATAAACTAGACATAGTTGGTTAATCTTAGAATCAGAGTTTCATACTACAAAGAAACTATTAAACAATTCTGGAGAACTTAATCTCCAGCCTTCCATTGTGTGTGTTTAGTTTAGTTGCTATGTTGACAGGTTTGTTAGCCTACCCGGTGAATATTCATCAAACTGTACAAACATTACTAAGTCATGCAGTCAACATTCCTTTACTAGAGGGAACCCAACCATTGTGTAACTTACTGTGTTGCTTTGTCAGTAAAGAGCTCTGATTTTTAATTCAGATAAAAAAATATATAGTAAAACATGCTGTAGGATGAGGATGATGTTAAAGATGAACTATTAAAATTGAGGGTGTGAGAGGTGACATCCAGTAGACTACAAACTCCAATACTTAAACAGTTTTCTTCTTTAGAATATGTAGTCAGCTAAATTATTCCTCATGATGCTTGCCTGTCTTTTAAAAAGATGAAGTGGGGCAGGAAAGGGGGAAGGTTAACTAACTAGTTTGGCTGTAGGATAAGTTATAAAGAATATCAAGTGCTGTGATCACAACTCAAGATCAAGACTGTCTCATTCCAAATTAGGGTATCTGTTTGGGTTTTTCTTTTTTAATTTCTAAAGCGATAACTGTTCCCTTTCAAGCTACTGTGTTGATTATCCATCATCTGTAATTACCACTTGCAGAACTCAGGAGATGGAATTGCAGGTTTGTTCTTGCCTGGTGTGTTCCATTCATCTTTTTGTATTTGTTCAACCTGCCAAACTCTTTAAAAGCTATTTTGTGAATTCCTGCAGCACTTTTTTTAGTAAGTAGGGATCTGTGGTTGGGGGGTGTTGAGGAGCACATTTCTGAAAGATTGTTTGTTAGAATGATTGTGCAAAGTGTAAGTTTGTTGTTGTGTGCCTGCATTTATCAATATTTGAACTTCCAGCTTACCAGCAAGTATGAATTGCTTTTGTTCACATCTGTTAACATTTTTATTCAAGCTTGACCAACACTTAAGTCACGTTTTGTGATTACCACTTAAAGCATCTCTTCCTGATAAAAATACTTTAGAAACTCAAATGAATGTCTTCAATCTGTATCTTCATCTTCCAGGCTGCCCAGTCAGTGCTGATTTCCCTTTTTGAACTCAACACTCCAGAGTTTACAATGCTATTGGGTGCTTTACCAAAAACATTTCAGGATGGAGCCACAAAGCTTCTCCATAATCATCTCCGGAATACAGGCAACAGTGGTCAGGTATCTACATCTCTCTTACTCTTCTTTCTGAAGTTACTAGCGTTTTGAACATAAATTCATTTCAGTAGAGTTATTTGTGAGAGCAAGAAAGTTGGTAGAGGAGGGGAGGTAACCCAGATCCTATGTAGAAGTCTGTGTTAGTAGCAGATATCACTCTTTATGGAATGCCTTTTCTTTTTCCTCCGGGGAATGATACTTTCTAAGTCTGTGTTGCTTCCAAGTGACTTTAGTAAGTTTGAATGTGCTATTTTAAGAGTAGTTATCTTTTACTTTACTCATGTCAAAGTTACACCCGATTAAAGTTAACTCGTAATTGGTTAGCCAACACAAGAAGTTAAATAGAAGCTCTTTAAATGTTTCTGGGCACTAGAAAATAAATAAATACAATAATAAGTTAAAAGGGAAGCTGAAGTCCTACTGGAGTATCTCTTCTCACCTGTCCTCCTCCAGGGATCAATGGGAAGTCCTTTAACAAGACCTACTCCACGCTCCCCAGCAAGTTGGTCAAGTCCTCTCACTTCCCCAACCAATACATCGCAGAACACTTTGTCACCAAGGTAATGTAGGCTGGTGCTGTTACAGTTCTGCATCTAAGGCTTTATTACACGTTACCCAAAATTGTAACCCCAACAGTGAAAGCGTGGAGTGAATTTTGCAAAAACTGACGGATGTTGAAAAATAACCCCCTTCCCTTCACAGAACAACAGTACGGTGAACTGCTTAGCCTCCCTGAAGGGTCCGACAGGTGCCAAGGCTGGCCTGAGGTGGGAAGGGCTGTGCACCTTGGAGTGCAAATGAATTAGCAAGAGAAGGAATGGAAGTGTTAATCTCTAGCAGATGTTAGAATAGGTCAGCTAGGTCATCAAACCAGACTTAATATTGGGAAGACTAAAAAAGTAGTAGTTCATAAGCATTCTGGTCTTTAATTTTGTGGTACCAGTGTTGCCAGCAAAGTGGATTTTGTAATTTTGCTTTTAGCAATCAACTTACTCTGAAGACTGTTGAGTTTTATCAGTCCTACTTACTTTGGAACTCTTTTCAGAAAGAGAGAATCTTGTAAAAATCCCAGTTGTTTCATACTCATAAAACAGAGTAAAAGAAGTTTGTTTCTTCAGGCAGATGCGGCTGCATAATGTAGCCTTTCCCTTAGCTAGCTACTATCAGTGCTTTCTCTGTCAGTGGCAGTAGACTTACTAAGATAGTACAGTTTTTGCTATGTGGAGAGACAGCTTTCTTCCTTAATGTGTTTCAAGAAAAATAATAATTTTACTAATATTTCTTGAGTCTCCGTAGTTCTGTGCTAATGTTATTTGAAAATATGGGGTCACAAATCCATCCTAATTCCTGTGTCCTTCTCCGTGGCCCACAGTGCATTTGACTATGACACTGAAAATATGAATTCTGAAGATATTTACAGCTCTCTTCGTGGAGTCACTGAAGCCATTCAGAATTTCAGTTTTCGTAGTCAGGAAGATATGAATGAGCCTGTAAAACGAGATTCCAAAAAAGATGATGGCGATTCGGTGAGTATTTAAACTCAGTACATCTTGGTATCAGCAAACCAAGCCAATGACTGATTTATTACAGATGATAAAGCATCTTTTTTCAGTAGGTTTATATGTTACAACTTCTGAAACGGGACATTTCTCCTAAATTACTTCAGAGCTTTAGAAAAATATGTTCCTAGTCTTGAACCACATTTTGGAAATGTAAATATTAATTCTAAGTAGCACTAGCTGGTTTTTTTATTTAAAGTGTTAGTAATTTAAAAATAGATTACCTTGAAAAACAGCTGGAGTTCAGTTTTTGAGAGGTCTGCACCTTAATATATATATTTTCCAAAGGTTTTATTTTATTCCATACAAAACCTGTGGGTTTTTCAGTGCTACATGCAGTGTTTTAAACTTCTGTTTCTATGAAACTTTGGCTTTCAGATTTGTTGAGCTTACCAAACATGTATATGCTTAAACATGTTTTTAATTACTTAGCATCAAACTTCTGAGATAAAATACTGACAGCTGTTTCTAGTTCATGAATTTTTTTGGACTGTGTACACTTCACTTTTTGTTTTTGAAGGAAAGCAAAGTTTAGGGAACTGTTTATAAGAGGTCTTACTTGAAGGCTAGTTTGAAATTTTTTAAATTTGTAAACTTCTTGAAATTTTTAAGTTTTGGCTACATAGATGAATTAGTAATGTAGTTAGTTGAAAAGTGTAGGTGTGTTTCATATGCTCGTGTGGTATCTCTTTTCCTGCAGATTTGCAGTGCTTCTGGAATAGTAGACCTACGAGCAGGAAGTGGTGTGAGCGATACAGGCCGAACAGCTCTTGATAACAAAACGTCATTACTCAACACAATGCCTCCCCACTCTTCGCCACGTTCACGAGATTATAACCCATACAATTATTCTGATGGTATCAGTTCATTTAATAAATCTGCTTTGAAAGAAGCCATGTTTGATGATGATGCAGAGCAATTTCCTGATGGTAAGCTTCAGGTTGCGTTCTGGGCTAGAAGAAGAATGGTGAGATTTTCCATCTTTTAGTTCAGTTTCTGAATTTATTATTAGCAATATATGTATCACCACTGCTGCTTCTTTGAGAGGTTTTTACAAATACTGTATTTCAAATTAGTTAGTTTGTTAGTAATCCTTCTGAGTGATATTGTTGGTTTACTTGGTATTTGTAGAGATTAAGGGTAAGAATGAGATAAATACTGAACTCTATTGTATACTTCTGGTAACACATCCTGCAGCAGTATCATCAATGCAAATGTACTTGTCAGGTTGCTTTATGATTGAAATTTAAAGAGGAAAAAAAAAGATTATTTACAGGAAGTAAAACTGGATCAAACCAGTTTGGGAATTAGGTGAAAGATTAAGTATTTTGTTAGTAATATATTTGTATTTGAAACATGACATTAGCGTTTTCTATTGACTAAACATTCTTTAAAAAAGCAAAAACCAACAAAACCAGCTTTTACTGGGTGGGTGGTTCTTTAGACCATGTAAATCTAGGAACTTGGGCTGTTGTTCTGTAGGCTTCTAGAGCTTCTTTTTAATATTTCTCAGTATATCTTTGGGTTTGGAGTGAAGCATCCCCATCCAGTATTAGTTTGTCCTGGCTGGAGGAGTAGTGAGTGCAATGCATTATTTAGGTCTGCTTTTTAATGGACCTTAACGAAGTACTTGTATTCATTCCTGTGTTCACCCTTAGGTTTTAGAATTACTTTTAGAATGTCATCTAAGATAACTTTGAAAAAGTGCATGAAAAAAGATACTCTCGGCAAGATACTTTGTGCCTACAGTCCCTCAGTTAGGAGTTGCATGCTTTTCCCATAAACCTGTGGCACTCGTTGGACGTTAGATTTTAATTTTCAGCAGCTCCACAGAATTGCTACCTGTTAATGACAAAGGTCCTGTTTTTACTGAACTCCTAGCTATCGTCTCATGTGTTACTTGGAGAAAGATGTGGAAATACAGGGCTAGATGGGAAAACCTTAGCTGCTCATATAGTCCTGTCAACAGCACTGAGGCATGAGCGTGTATTCTGCAGATGGTTTGTCTAACAGCTGAAAATTTCCAGTGGATGAAATGCCACAGTGTACCCCACATGGCCATTTGAGTGTTTTGCCTCTGTTACAGTAAAAAGGTTTTCAGAGTAACAAGGGAGATGCTTTTTACCCAAAGCATAGGGAAACCTGGCTTTCTAAGTTACTTCCAGACTACTTAAAAGCAGTCCACATCTCTGGTTGAAAAACAGTGTTCCTCTTCAAAGAAGCTTATTTATTGCAGCTTACTTCCATGGATTGTGTTTTCCAAACATCTTCCTTTTTACCTGCCACTTTGTATATGAGCTTAAGATTTTTGCTTCTGTGTCTTGCCTTACACATAACCATCTTTTTTCTTTCAGACCATTCATCTGATTTATCATGATAATTTTCAATTTTTATCCTGTTTTCCAGAATGTTTGCAACTGCTTTTAAATTTAGGTCATCTGCAGATTTTATAAGTGGTCTCCATATTCATTTGATAGCATTAACATAAGTATCAAACAGAACCAGGCTCTGCACAGACCTAACCAGGGACATCACTCATATCCTCCTAGATTAATAGAAAGCCATTTATAGTCCAGTCACCCTGCAAGTGATTCATCAAGTTTTGCACCCACTTTGTTGGCTTTTTTGGCCATCATGTTTGCATAGCTTCTGTATTAAGATGCTGTGGGTGACAGTAGGAAAATCTATTAAATTCAGGACATACCTACATTTTTCCTTTTAATCCCTACACTGTTTATCCTGTCAAAAGGATATTATTTGATTTGTTTGAGAAGAGCTGTTCTTCATGAAATATTTCTCTCTCTAATGCATATTTTAATTTATTCAAAGAAGGAGTTGCATCTGCTCCTCTTCATTTGTGTTCTGTTTTCTTTCTGAAAAAGAAATTTTGAGAGTGGACTTCGAATATGACTTCTTTTACACTTCTGCATTCTTATCTGGAGAATGTTTGGAAATGAAACGCTGCGTACTAAGTGATACAGAGGAATGGAAAATACAGGCTGTGAAGGCACATCCCTCTTGTTGTCTTCATGTTTTTCAGGAATTCTAGCTATTTCCTCCGCTAATGGAGCTTCTTTCCTCCCCTTATTCCTGCATGGACATGGCTGCTACCTTCTTTTCTCTTTACCCCTTCCCTCCATATATTCAAGTTGCCACTTCTTTCGTTCTCATGATTCCACAGTGAAAATAACTTTATTCAAACAGATATGGGTAGTTTTCCTAATTATGTGTCAATATGCATTCCCCAAAATAGGATTTACTATAGCTGTAATCCTCACGGTTTGGTAGAACAAGTGCAATAGTTCTGGTAATAAGTCATGATCTTGCTTCTGTAAAAGTGATTGTCTATTGTGTGCATCTGTACTAATTAATAACCTGCCTAATGCAATTTCAGCCTGTCCTTTAGGCAAACATTAATGATCCATTTAGAGAGTCTGCAAAGCATGCATTAATATAGAGGCAGTAGAAGTGCTTGCAGAAAAAAGTTTCTGCTTTCAGGTGCTCGTGCTCCTGATTATTCATGCAAAACAATGCAAATAGGAATGTTGGGTACAAAACCAGCATGATTTTTAAGGTAACTGAGGTGTGATTTTAAGATACTTCATACGTGGTATTCAGCTTTTACTTGTTTCTTTGTACAGGTGCTTTGTACAGCATTTCTAAGTTACAGTATTGAAAACAGTAATATAAGATGTTCAAGGGCTGCAGTTTCAGTATATGACCTAATAAATTTGTTATGGAGAATGTGTTTCATGTGTTAATAAATGGAATAATTTTAGGAAAGATGCAATACAGGAACATTTGCATTTTATGCCAATACTTTCAGCCTTTTTCCAGAAAAAAAATGTGTGTTTCTGTTAATTTATCCAAAAGTCTCAGTGAAAAGATGGAAGCTATATGCTTTTCTTTGTTGAAGGCTAAATGGGTCTTGATGATGGAATAAAGGCAGCAACCTGATATTTAATTTTCATTAAGACCATTTTTAAGTTTCTTGACTATTGCAGATCTTTCTGTTTGCAGTCTAGTGTTTAAAAATATGGGTCGTGTTACTAATGCGTTTTTCCATCATCATGGAATGCTCTCTAATCAAAACTAAAATCCAGAGCCATCTCATAATGACTACTATCAGGAGTCTCTGTGGGACTAGCAGCCTTGGTTTGCTTCTATTTCAGCTCTTTTGAACCAAGCACCATTCTTGTGCCCCCCCCCTTAGGTTAACAGCCTAGCTATTGCTGTGGAACCATGGCTTACAGAAGTCTAAGCAATTCTGTAATACTAACAGAGAAAAGACAAATTTATCATCTTGGATGGAAGGGTCATATGGAAAAGGCAGAACTTTGTGTATAGATCAGATTTAAAGGGGTGCAGAGTACTTGCCATTTGGGTATTGCAAGCATAGAAACTTTTGCAGTAATCCAGCTTACAGGGGTTTTTTTGCAATATCGTTGTAGGGGGGTTTTGGTGATTGTAAGCTTGTTCAGCATTGTTGGCTGCACTGAAAATGTAGTAGCCAAATGGCAATTTTTGCAGACAAATTTGGGGAAAAAAAAATAAAAGCATACTAGAAAGCCAGCTAGCTGTCCTAGAAAATATCCTTCAATTATACAGCAGGCACTAATACTTATCTGCAATGATCTGAGAACTGTGGTTTTTTACTCTTTTTTGACAGAGCCTCCCATGGACCATTCTGATCTGGTTGCAGAGTTACTGAAAGAGTTATCAAACCATAATGAGAGAGTCGAGGAAAGAAAGGCTGCCCTGTATGAGCTCATGAAGTTAACTCAGGAAGAGTCTTTCGGTGTTTGGGATGAGCACTTCAAAACAATACTACTTTTGCTGCTTGAAACACTTGGAGATAAAGAGGTAGATTCAGATTAATCCAGTTAAGAGTGTTAACAAAGCACATGGTTTACTTTCAGTGTCTTTGAAATTTGTATCGGTTGTAGGAAGGGCACAAATTCCACTTAGCCTTTAAAAACAAAAAACTGTCGAAATACAAAAATGTCATGAAGTCTGAATGTCGTAATGGTGAAAAAGGCATCAGTAATATTTACCTTCTCAGGTATTCTTATTTGTTGATTCCTACATGATAGATTAAATGAAGCATTTTTCATTGTGATTCAAAGCTTATCTGTTAATAGCCCCTGATGGAATATACAATATCAAAACATCGTGTGTGGCAAAGCATTTAAAAATATATTTCTAAAATACAGTGTTGCTCCTTGTGAAGAGACTGAGTTCTATGTAATTGTTCTCTACAAGGGCCATGTTTTTGAAGTTACAGGGGATCAAAAAGACAGTAATACTTGTTTTCTATTTAAAAAAATAATAATTTGTAAAAAAAATTAAAAATGTATTTGCATGATGTGATACTAAAGGTTTTATTGGCACTTGTGAAGAGTAAAATTGTTTGCAACTTCTGGGTAGTGTAGATAACACAATTAGGTTAGCAACATGTTTATGATGCCACCTGAATTATCTGCAAAAAGAGAGATCGAGAAGAGTGAGAAACTGAAGATTTTTTTCGTAACTTTATTTGTTAACACTGGTTTCATACTGTATATATGCATAGAGCATAATCTTATATTTTTCCATTATCAAAGACTCTTCCAGCTGCTGAACAAATGTTAAAATTTATGTCTGTTTAAAGATACATAACTTACTTGTTTTAATATTAAATCTTTAGCATGCAATTAGAGCTTTGGCGTTGAAAGTTCTAAGAGAAATTCTAAGAAACCAGCCAGCAAGGTTTAAGAATTATGCAGAGCTCACAATCATGAAGACATTAGAAGCGCATAAGGATCCTCATAAGGAGGTTAGTAATCAGTTATTCTGTTTGTTTGAGGTTATGACAAATTATTGCAAAATGAAACAGCTGTCCAAAAAATGTTTGAGAAATTAGTCAGATCTTACTGAAGAAGTAATTTGTTTAATAATCAAGCATTCAGCTGTTACTGGTTAACACGGGTATGCAAGAAAAAAAGAACTGCAGCTTTACAAGCTCTCAAATGTTTAATATCAACCCTAATAACAGTTGCCTTGGGTGCTGTCCAGGGGGACATAGTAACCAATGATGAGTCATTATAGCTCTTCAAGGAGTAATTGAAGGGAGTTTTTTCCTTGTATGACATCTTAAGCTAGATACGAATGTCCTGGAGCTCTACAACAAGCTTTTGGATTTCCTTAAGGTTCATGGTTGAGAGATGGGACTGAACATCGCAGGGAATTGTCAACGCTTTCCATTTTTAGCCAGCTCTGCATCATTGGAGAGCATGGCTTTGAATGCTGTTAGAGGAGAATGCACAGGAACATACCAAAGGGAGGAGTTGCTTATGGCTGAGAATAGTGAGGGGATGCAGAAGTAGAAGGATAATTGTAATCTTGCTCAGAAGTATTTGCAATGCATGCATACACAATAAAGGATAATGTATGTAGATGTAAGAAACACAAATACAGTAACCACCCCGATATTAAATAGTTCACATCAGTGTCACAGATGCTACGGAAATAATCCAGGTTTATTATTAAATGAGTACATCTTCTCTCTGCCATCCCCATGCCACGGCACTTACTTTATGTGGAACTTAGTGGAGTTCCAGGTTTTGAAGTTTGACTGCAGTTCCTCCCATGCCAATGACTTTTGTCACTCATCTGATACTCATTTCTCTTTTCCCTGCACCCTCTTGGTTTGTTTCATGTATTTATTACAGTGTCTTGTCCCCATCTTTGCTCCTCTGTTGCTGTGCTTTCTCTCTCTCTTCGTTTCATGTATATGAGTGAGAGAGTAAAGGGAACAAGGATGGAGAGAAACAGATACGGAGTTTTTTGTATGTCATTGTTGTACAAACTGCTGATTTTGTACAGTGGTTAGTCTTGTTAGATGCCACAGCTGCACTAATATGAAGATCAGATGTGAATTTTCTCTGTGGTGCCCATGTTGTATCCTGAGCTTCTGTACCTATTGACTTCTTACCTAATTATTCTTGTTCTGCTTGTTCTGCATATTCTTCAGGCTTAGGAGTCCTCTCTTGTCATAGTTTCTTTCAAACTTAGAGGGGAGGAAAAGCAGCTAGCTTGACTTATAGAAGTAGCACGCTAGTCAGGTCATTAAACATGTTTTTGAGGTGAATGTGAAAACATGTCTTGTCAGTGATCACTGATATAACAAGCAATAACAAATGACAACAGAAGAAATTACAGATTTACAAAGGTGGTGATATTTCAGTATGTAGTTGGGAGAGTATTGCAGAACAGAGATATTTTAGTTATGATTCAACAACTGATATGCGTATTGCTGAGGACATACTTTAACCACAGAATATTGGGAAGAGTTTTCTTGTTATGAGAGTATGTCCAACAGCTGGAATCTGGTAAACAGATTTTCAAAGGGCTGTTCATTCACATATTTCTGCAATATGTAGCTCTTGGTAGGAAATTTTTATGCTCAAGACCATTACTGCCAGATAACGGGCCATAGTGACAGTCTCTTGTAAATAATTTTTCCACATCTTTTACTTACTCTTTCAATAGGTGGTGAGATCTGCTGAAGAAGCTGCTTCCATGCTGGCCACTTCCATTAGCCCAGATCAGTGCATCAAAGTTCTTTGTCCAATTATCCAAACTGCAGATTACCCCATTAATCTGGCTGCAATCAAAATGCAGACAAAAGTCATAGAAAGAGTATCTAAAGAAACCCTTACTCAGCTTTTACCAGAGATTGTGCCAGGTCTAATACAGGTAAGGAGAAAAGAAAGGGGGGTTTTTGAAACAGACAAACAAAAAAAGAAACTGTATATATAAGAATTGCAAAGAATTTTTTAAAATAATACTACTTGGCTCTCCTGAAGGATTTCATTTGTCTGACAGCTGATGGCTGCGTTGACCCAAAATAACTCAGATAGTGGGAACAAACTCTTTGATTGGCAGGTAGCTAAATTATAACTGTGGTTAGGACTCAAAAGAAATCTTGGTATGATATAAAGTACTGGTTATAGTTAAGCTTGGTAAAAACTTCTAGTTATAAGATAGTTTTTTGATGGTTGTATCTTTTTCCAAGTTGTAATCATTTGGTCTGAAATTGTCCATGTAGTATTTGTCTTTAATGGTAGGGTTTTATGACTTGGGGTTTCAGGGAGGCAAGAGGAAAGAAGCAGTTGATTGGGGAAAGTTTAATAAAACGAGAAGGATATCAGAGGCTTCTCTTCCTTTCTCTTTAAAAATAAATTCTTTCCCACCTTATCAAGAGCCAAGATACATTAATTTGCATGTGATGGATAAAGACTTTTCAGAGTTTGACAGTTGCATTCTGCAGATGGGTGTGATCCAATCATACATCTGCAGGAAGGTGGAGGCAGAGAAGGGGCCCTCTGAGAAGGGGGTGCGAGTGAGAAAGCCAGGCATGAGGTACCAGGAAAGTGGCAAAAGAAGCAAAAATCATTAAGGAACAAGATGGGAGTTAACAAAAGAATCTTTAGCTGTTAAGAGAATACTTCTTTCAGAGTAAGAAAGCTCTAAATGGAGTGGTCGTCTGCTTTAAGTAAATATCTGTATAATCTAGAACAGTTTCTCTTATGTACTCTCCTGTTTCATGACAGCAACTCTGTTTTCAGTGTAACTTTTGAACAGGATTGTGTGGGTTTTAATTTCAGTCTGGAAAATTATTATCAATGGTGATTAATAAGCAGCCTGCTTTTTAAGTGCATGTTCTGTATTTGCGTGTTTGTTTTTTTGTTGGAATGCTTCATTGGGCTACACTAACATTCATTTACTGTAGACTTCAATGTATTTATTATAGTAAATAAGTAAATAGCTTTCTGAGGCTTTTAATCATTAACTGATAAGGTATTAATGTTAGTTTTATTGCTTTCTAGGGTTATGATAATTCAGAGAGCAGTGTTCGTAAGGCATGTGTTTTCTGCCTTGTAGCCATTCATGCAGTAATTGGTGATGAACTAAAACCACATCTCAGTCAACTCACTGGCAGTAAAGTAAGTAAAAGATACCATTTAAAGAAATCTTGGTTCATAACTGCATGTATGCATTTGCATTTTGGTTGCAATTGCCAGAAAGTTTCATATAGTGGAATATCAGGGCTACTGAAACCCTCCAAGGATTAATATAACTTTGTCATAAAATGTTCAAAACTGAAAATCCATAGATCTTTCTTTATGCAAGTATATGAACTGTAGCATTAAGATAAATACTAAATTACGTTTCTTACTGCTGTTTAATGGATTTAGTTACTGGTTGTATTCCGGGCAGTAGTGATAATGACTATACTCAGCATGGCTTTTGCTATCAATATTTTTTGCCTTGTTTTTCATGCAAGTTCAGATTGGAAAGCAATAAATGTCATACACAGATGTTACATACAGCAGTTTTCTATTGTCCTTCCCTCCTTGTTACTTTGCTTTCATCGGTCCTTTCATTACCTCTAAGGTGAAATAATAGCAATAAGTCTGTGGTCCTTTTTGGTTCAGGATATTCATGATTTTATTGACATCTCTTACATAAAGTTTTTTGCATGTGGACAGCTTTATGTTAATTGTGAATCTGTTTGTCACAGGACAATTACTTTTTTTATATCTTCGAATAAGACAGTTATATCTTAAAAATACTCTCTGGCAGTGATTGTGTTGAATGTGATTCTAGACAATATTGGAAGCTTTAGTTAAGTACCAGCATCAACAACTCTAACTAGAGGCTTAAAACCTCAACATTAACTTTAAAGAAAAAAAAAGAATTACCTTATTTTAGAACAGCACTGTAATTTGAGGAAAATATTCCATCTATCTTAATCTAGCTACCTTAGATCATTCTCTTCTTTACATCCTTAAAGAAGCTTGAGCAGTTTCCTTGTGACAAATTTTGCTGTGTTTGATGTTTTATTGGCAAGTATGTTACCTTTGAATCAACTGTGTAAAATATAATTTTGGTTTGGGGGGGAAGAAAATTATTTAATCTCTCCTTTGTTGTACCATTCCTGTAGTCTGTACAGTTTGCAAATACTAAACAAAGTGAATTTCTGGCTTAAATTTGCAGATGAAATTATTGAATCTTTACATCAAACGTGCACAAACAGGCTCTGGACCAGGGGATACAACAGCAGATATGTCTGGACAAAGCTAATGAAGCTGACAAGAGTTAACCAGGTCTCCTAAAGCAAGGGCAAGGCCCTCTTCAGTGAACGAAAAATTCTTACATACAATTTTTGGAACCTTTTTCTTGGGTTGTTTTTTTTTTTTTTCCCTTTTGTGTTTTTTTTCTTTAACCAATGGCTGTCCTCAAGCCTGCATGTGACTGTTGCAATAGAATTATTCCAAATCCAAGGGAAAACAGTATTAACATCAGTTGATCAAAGCAGAATAAAATTTAAAAATAATCTAATCCATCAGTTATCCTGTTCACAATCCTCTGTGTCTTCCCATTAACTTTTGCCAGTGTTATTGTATTTAAAAAAAGATTTTTTTAATGCTAATTAAAAAGGTATGCTTTAAGCTTCAGAAGTTAAAATATAAATTCTGTTGCTTTTATTCAGCTGCAGATAACATTACTTTTTTATTGCTATTTTGTTTGAGTATCATGTCCTTCGCTAGAAACAAGAAGTTATGTGAACCAAGGCTGAACTAGTCTGAACTGCAGTGAGACTTGTTCACTGTGTTGGTGGTTCATCATCTTATTTACAGCTTGTTTGGGATATTCTGGAGATTGAGAAATATGCCTATAAAAAAAAGCTGGATTGATCCAGTTCTGTAAAAGTGATATTGTTCATTGGTTGTATGTTTGTTGCATAAATAAGAATTTAGTGTGCGCAGTAGAGGACTGGTACAACCAGTACCTCTTAATGTGGAAGACAGCCCTTTCAGGGTAGCATTGCCGACCTGGTGATAGTGTGGCAGTCTGCTTTTTAGCAGCAGAGTTAATGGTCACTTGATGGACGTGAACCATCCTTGTCACCTTTCGTTCTTCAAGCAGGATGCTTCAGAATGGAGTGCTCTGCCCAAGCATGCTCAGTATGTATTTATCTTTATCACTAGAATGTTTCCTCTCAACCTAATTGCTGGAACAAGTAGTCTTGTATTGTAATTCACATGGGATTTTATGACAACAGTGCAGAAAACTGTTTGTTACCTTCCTAAAAGCACCAAGATTTTCTGCATTGAATTTAAATGGGGGGGAGGGGGAATAGTCACAAATGCTATGGATCTTGCCACCTTTTAATTTAAAAAAAAAAATATATATTTTGGATGAGTTGGGAAAGCTGCACCAAATTATTTGCATGGTTTTCTTGAATAGCATCCTCAAGACCCATCTGGATTAAGGTGTGGAATTGTTTCCAAGGTTTGTTTTTCCATTTTTGAAAAAGAGTTAGTTTATTGTGAATAATGGTTCTTTGTATTTATGAAGTTGATAATGGAAAGAGAACAAAGATCAAGTAAATGTGTCCCTAAATGTTGTCTTTTTCTTTTTTCTTTTTTCTTTGGTCTTTGATATAAGCAGCAAGCTAATTAACTGAGAAATGGGATGAAACAGTACCTGTCCCAGGAATGGTGGAACTTTTTTTTTTCCTAACTTTTTTTTCCTTTGACTGTGATGTTGTCTAGTTGTAGGAGGTGTATCCTGATAAGAGAGAAAATAGCGGTGCCAAGGATGATGATCTATGCTAGGCTAAAATTCTCTCTACCTCTTCAGGGTGACTAATTTTTGACTGAGCTGCTGCATATAGCACCTGGTGGAAGAATTATCTACAGAAAATCTTTTTTTCTTTCTTTTTTTTTTTTTTTTTCCAAATTATCACTTAATGTGTATTCAGAACTCTATTCTTCAACATTGCAGCCAAATATCATAAGAAACTACTTAAACACTTTACTTGCTAGGAACCCTGAAAAGCAAAACTGAATAAAAATTAAGTCAGATGTTTGTAGTTACATGAAAGGTTGTTTTCGCTTCAGTTTGAAGTGAATCCAATAGAAAGAGCTAAGATGTGGTTGTTATAGAAGCAATGCCGTTGCAGAGATTTATTTGGAGGAAAAGTTGTAGAAATATATGTAAAGACTTAAAACCAAGACCGTCATAACTCATCACTAGCCCTTTTTAGCAGCTACATCAAGAAAATAGTATCTCCTCTTTCTTTCCTTTGTTACGTGTAACATCCTTGTTGTTTTCTACTGTTTAATTACATTGTGTATTTATAGTTCTATGCTTACCATTGTGCATATACTGGCAATAAAATGTACATAACATTACTTAAAAAATAGCAATGTATACATTCTGGTTTTCTGTTTTATTTGATCACATGCTATAAGAAAAATTATAAATGTGATTGATATAACATTGGTTAAAAAAATTTATCTTAATCTTCATGTTTTGTGTGTCCAAATGATGTTTCTTTATATACTCTCGTTACTAAATCTGACTTGGCATTTGAGAACATGCTGTGAATATAGGTATGCTAGGCAAAAATGTTTTTTGGAAATTGAATCTTTACACACACCTAGTTTCCTTCATCTAGGCAGGTTTCTTGTTTACTGTTTCATTTATTTGTACATTATACATTGTTTGCATTTTATTTTTTTAATATTTCAAAAATATTTTTCAGTCTACAATTTTGTAGTTTACATTTTGATTATATAAAAGATCACTTTAAAAAAACTGCACAAATTCTAAGCTTAATAGTCCCATATGTTATTCCTGCTTTTTCTACAGGTAATGTTTATTTTCACAGGATCATTTTAAGATGACTGTTTGTCATCTTTTTGAAGATGCTATTTCATACTGGAAAAATACGTTATTGAAACATACAGTATATATTCTGGATTAACCTAATTTTTTTGTGTCTAAACAAAAGTTGGTAAGAAAGAAATGTTTTTATCCCCTATATGACTGAAAAATTTTGCTCCAGGTAGGGAGGGAGAAAGATACTTGCACAAAATTTGTCCCTCAGTTTTGCTTATAAGCCATCTTTAAATGTTCTAAGCGTGGATATCCCATGTGTTAAGAATCTAAATGCAATATATTTAAATGAATATTTTACTTATATGATTAGTTCTGTTCCCAACAAAGATGGGGCTGCTATAGTGATAGAATCTGTTCATATTACGTGGAGCCATCAGAAAGTAAGAATTTGCAACAAAATTATTTCCACTGCAGCCAGTTATCAGATTCACTGCATTGCTTTTTGCCTTCATTTCCGATATTATAAATAGAAATGAGCTCAGTTAAATTCAAGCAGTGATTAGTCATGCCTTATGTACCTGCTGGAGGTAGTTTCTCTAATGGATTAGCATAAAGATCTGGGGAAAAATTAGGACAATTGTAAGTTGCTGTTCTTTTGGAAAGGGTTTCTTTATGTTCTTTCTAATATTCTGTAAAGATAGGTCATTGCAATCGTTTGAATACTGAAATGTAATTCTTAAAGGTTGGGTTTGGCCTTAAAAAAAAAAACAAAAAGGAAGAAGGAAAGAAAGCTACATGCAGAATCAGGATAGGAAGTGCATGTCTTGGATATCTCGGACTTGGATGTCATTTGCTTTAAAGAATTTTGAGTAACACATTATGTTCAGCTGAAGTCTTAGCAAGGAAGTTGGGCTGGTAAATGTAATTTGAAAGGAGAGATGATCATGTAAATTTTCCTGAATTGGGTTGCTTGTTTGTTTTTGAAGATAAAGGTCTGGAACAGATTGAGTTGTGTTTATTATTTGTGGTCTGAGTCCCAGAGCAAAAAGAACAAACATTTGTATCCTGAAACACTTACATATTCTTAGTAGTTTCTATGAATGTTTGAACGTTTTGAGTAAATTCACAAACACACCCATGTTAAAAGCCTATTGAGAATGCAGGCCCGAACTGCTCATGGTTTAATTTTCAGCAAAAGAATTCAAATTCTGAATATGACATTGTCCCTTTGAAAACAATTATAAAAGAGAAAATAATATTGAGGAATAAATCTGTTGAATTATTCTACAGTTACTCCCTATGATAGGTTAGTGAGAATGGTTCAGCTGGTTGTGGTAACTTTCACTGTGTCAAGTTGGGACTTAGCAAACACAAACATAGAACACAATAAACACAAATGTGATGGGGATAAATGGACAGTTTGGGAACTGGAGGATTACCTGGAGAAAGGAAACCGATGTTTCCTCCCAATTAAAATGGTAAACTGATCAGTTTTGCAGTTGCAGTCTATTTCCAGGTAAGATGAAAGCCAATATTCATATTACAGTCTCCAAAGAAAACTTTTTATATTTCCCCTCCTACATTTTGTAATTAAGTCTTCCAACTCTTCAGAAGCATATACTTTAAACATTATAAATGTTCTCTTAAACGGATTAAATTTTTTCTTTCTTTTTTGTTAAAACACAGAAGATTATCAGTAACGTGGGAAGTTTGAGAAACTAATTGTGCTAGTCTGGCAAGTGGGGGGGGGGGCGGAATGAAGCTTCATTTACTGTTTTTCTATATTGTGCATATGTTTGGTTTTTTAAGTATATTTTAAGACCTCAAGGGTTCCCAAGCTGTGCAGCTTGGATTATCCCAGTTAAAGAAGTTTCTTCATTTGCTGGTAGGATTTTAGGATAATATGCACATTTACTGAGAAGTTCCCTACTGAGGAACGTTTGCCAACAGGTAATTTCTGCTGGGACAGAATCGCAACTATCTTTGTAAACTGCTGTCTAACAGTAAATCTTGGAAACTTATGAATGGTATTTTGCAAGCAGTTTTGAATTCTGTATGATTTCTATCAAATATAAAAATTCTGTAACTCTTGATGTATTTTAGGTAGATATAAGTGATCCTAATGAAGCATTTTTTGAGGGAATAAGATTGGAAAAAATGGTGGATAGCGAAACATGGAAAATATCTTTCTTCAGTGGAAAAAGCAACATACCTGCATATAGCTGTTTGATATCCAGACTTGTTACCGTTGCCAGTAGGTAGAAAGGTAACTAAACTCTCTCTTGGGCATCAAAGTTTTACCAGTTTCCATTTTGTGCTTCCTTTCCTACATCGTGCTATTGTCCACCAATGCAAATCATTGGACCTCTAAAACTCATACTGAAATCAGTACTGGAGTCGGTTCTGTTAACTGTCTGTCAGGCTAGATTCAAACGTAGTGGCTGTCTGTCCAAGGAAGATTTATACCAGTAAAAACAAAGATGTAGAATGAAGTTAGGCAGTAGACAGACATTCTCAAAGGTCAGCTAGACTGGTTAGCTATTCCCTCACCATCTATTCATCTCTGCCAATGGCAGAGCCAGCAGAGGCCCTTGTGGGAGCTCCCTTAATGGATTCCAGGCAAATCACTTTGGGGAACGATCTCAGACTGCTCCTCCAGCAGCACCCTGGGATCAGAAACTTCTGCCAGAGATGCTGGCAAAAGTGAAC